AGTCCCACCTCAGTCGAACAAACCCATTCAGTTTCCTGGGATCGTTACAAGGCACACATACGCAAGTACCGGCATGCTTTTCAGGGTCTGCAGACTTAAACAAGAATATTTCACACTTCTACGTCCTATTCACGTTTCTGAAGGCTTGAAGGTATTCAGGCGACCGACTACGTCGTTGCCATTTCCAAAAACATTGGTAACGATACGAATTTCCCAACTGCGTGCTGTCCACAAAATGCGCCCCGTTATTTCCAGCAAGCTCCTCCTAGTAGTACGGAACCATATTTTCTTAGAACTTACTGAAATGTACTGCTGTGAAAAGAAGGTTGCGTCTGGATGAATATAATCAGGATGGTGAAGTGAATCGAAGTTTCTGTTGCCCTTTGTAAGATACATTTCATTTCCGTCGGGGAGTCTCTCAAATAACGACATGGCATTGCGATCTTTCTCTGACAACATTTGTTGAAGATAGTTCCCTACCAGCCAAATCCACGGATCCCCCCGTCGAAATTCTGGGGAGATAGACGGTGATTCGGGGATGACGACGAGGATTCGATGGGAGTTCGACGCGGTGAGGACGGGGTTTTCAACCCGCATATCTCCGTCCTCACCCCCATCGTCACCCTCGGATCTCCCCGTCAAAATTCCGGAGGGTATGCATATTAGCAGCATGTCTCACACTATCCTACACTAACCTATGATTAAGGATTCTCGAATGAATCTGGAACGTCAGAAAAATTAATTTCTTGTTCCAGTGATTGCGTCCTCTTCTGAACTGCTTCCTGGGACTCATATATTAGCTTCTATCAGCAACACGACGTTCTCTCAAATAAAATGTCAGGGAAGATAGAGTTGGTTGGAAGGACTTTTACTTTGAGAAAATAAAGTGTACAAGGGCTGTGTCACGGGATCTCTGCCAGCTATGTGTTCAAGCGACTTGTGTCCGCGGGTGCGCGCTGTTGGGAAGCCACGACTGTGAGATGTGTGCTCTGTCGTCTGTGGCCAATCAAACACAAGTTCAACAATAACGCCACGCGTAGCGAAACTAGTCTTGGGAAAGCTTGTGTGTGTTAGTGGGAGAAGGAACGTGGCTCTGCTTTTATATTATTTCAGGAGGCCATTCCTGTGGCCTCAGGATTGGTCAGAAAACACCAGCGCGGAAGGGGAAAGGTGGTCGTGAACAGAGGCAGTACTGTGCCGGCAAGGGGGACGGGGAATTGCAAGCGTTTGAGATCAGTCAGTCAGTATATTCGAGGAAAAATAGGCCTTCGCCTTTGAACTCCCTATTTGTCACATATAAATCTCAAGAATTAGAAACAATGTTAACAAGTTTTCAGTCAGGAAAATATAGAAAAGGGTGCAGTGGTGTTTCAAGGTTAATTTGTCACATAGTTCACGTTGTGCTGTAACATACGCATATCAAGTCGGTGTTTGAATGTTTCTACAGATTGGTACATAACAATCGTCTCATTCCGCAGGTAGTTGTTTTGCCCCCGCTCCCCTCCATTTAACAGTAACAAAACCATCTGCCTCCTTCTTTAGCACCAGATGCATTACCTTGCCGTTTATGCCTTTAGCATTATTGCCAACCCCAATTACTTGACATTTATATTAGTTAATAACATACCGTTTATCCTATAGTTGATTGTCCCCCCTTTTGGTAATTACGCCCCTTTTTGTTTCGCCTAACCCCTTCTCATTTTTTAAAATTTCCTATACTGATGCAGCGAAAATTGACATTATCTCGCTGCTTCCAGACTTGGAAACTTCGTGTATAAGAGTACTATTTATGTGTTTCCTGTTCCCCAATTACAGAACCGTTCTCATCCATTTGATACTGTTATCGCCAAGGGAGATCGCATCTACACAAGTTAAAAGGTAACAACCAGACCGGCCTTAAGCACCTGGGTAATTACAGAACCCGAATATTCTACATTAAGGTCGCAGCTTGCGCCGCTTTACAGCATTGTGTAGAAGGTTTAAGGTTTTCTGTCATCCAGATGCCGAGATTTTGCTCTATTTCTGCTTCTTGGAGAGAGATTCCGTTCAGATAGTAGGAGCACGCCTCAGGGACCGGATTTCGATTTCCCAGACGCAGCAGTGTATTTGTTCGAATTGAAGGACAGGAGCCATCTGTGTGACCAATCGTTTAATCTACAAAGATTTTCCCGGAAGTTATCTTCATCGGCAGCACTCTTGATAACCTTCCATATTTTTACATCAGCTGCAAACTTGACACACTTGCAGTCCAATTCTTGTACACAATCATTAACGAACAAGAGAAAGTGGGTGGGTTCGAGTACTGAACCTTGAGAGCCTCCGATCTCAATGACTGTCAGCCTTAATTGTTTTCGTCCTACACACAGTTTGGGAACGATCAGAGAGGAAATTCTCAGCCCACGTTAGAAGTCTTCCTCCGATAACCATCAGTCTCAACTAGCGCAGGCGATGTTGGTGTGGAACACTGTTGAAGGCTTTCCGGAAATCAATGTAGGCCGCATTAACAGTTTCTTTTGTATCACTTGCCCTTGTCCAGCTTTGCATCGTGTAAAGCAAGTTTTTAACACATGACCTACGCCTACGATAGCAATATTGCGCATTGGACAAGACATTGTGAGTTCAACAATACATCATGAATTTAAATTGCGCATTCGACAATATATTGTGAGTTTCACAATATAGCATCAATTGCGTTCTTGATGATCTTCTCCATTACTTTGCAGCATATGGAGGTCAGACTCACGGGTCTGTATTTGTTCGCAACTGTACAACTACCGCTTTTACAAAGTGGTAAAATGTGCACTGTTTTCCAATTTGAAGGAAGGATTCCACTATCAAACGATTTCTGGCACATCATGGAAAGTGGTTTAGCCAGCTCTCTAGCAAGTTCCTTGAGCAATTGCCAGGAATCTCATCTAGACCTGGAGATTTACAGTCCTTCAAGCTTTTTAGTTCTTGGAAAATCGTCTATTCTCCAAACAAAATGTCCCCAATCTTTGGCGCTCCCACGATCTCGTCACTCGTTGCGACGGAGTCAATTTCTGTGGTGAAAACCGACCGAAAGAGCTCAGCAAAATGTTCTGCTTTGTTTTTACAGTCGGAGATTTCGAGACCTTCATCATTTATATAACGGGAATCAGGTTCCTGTTACGTGTGATTCTCCTTAAGTAGCTGTACACCAACTTCGGATTTTTGACTGCTCGATGAAGTAAATCACTCTCAAAGTCAGCGGTGGTGACAGCTGTAATTTAACCAGGGGAGGGGGAGGCAATATCGAGTAGCTCTTGAAAAAGTTGTCTCCTGATGCAGTTGGGGGGGGGTGGAGGGCAGAAGCATTGTGGGAAAAGGTGATTAAAAGGCAAGAAAGCCAAACGGGTAATGGGGACACTAGTCAAGTACCCGTTGGCCGAAGGACTAGTTTAAACACCAGAGTGTATTCGACTGGAAACAAAGAAGTCAACAGGAGCAGAATTATTGGAGGAAGGGGGTTCGGGCCCGCAGTTCAGAGGAAGAGGGCACAGGCTTTCGTAAGAGGGAAACAATTGGACTTGGTCTAATAGGAAGTCACTGGAAATGGACATGGAGAATTTCAAACTTGTTCAGCTGGAAATAACACCACCCGCCAGTTCTGCAAGTACTGTTCACGTCGACTCTTGTAATTCTCCTACACTCAGCTCATGCAAAGTACATAACTGGTCACTAGCCACTAGTGAAAATATTTTTGTACCTGTTCGTGTCCCTAGCACTACGCCCACTACATCTCCTTTACTGCCCACCCTCTTATAAGCAAATCTTACAAACATCTTTCTTCACAATGCCGCCCGCCATTCTCACTTGAACTGTGGC